GGGAATATATGTTAGAACGACCACTTTGGAAAAACATTTTATCATTACCTGATAAATTGAATATATGTCTAATCTACCATCTAAGTCACTCCCAGGTTTAAACACCAGAGGAATCTTGCACAAGGACACCAAGAGAATCTCCATAGTGGTATTATTTGCAACAGCCAAAAAACAAAAAGAAACTTTTAAAAACACATAGTTTATATAAACATTCAATGGCAGCAGATTAAATATGTGAACTGCTATGTATTCATACAGTGGAATATTATAAAACATAAATTAATAAAATAGACATTCATCAAGGATGAATAATAAAAGGGATTATTTTGAATAAGAGAAACGAATCAAAGAAGAATATACAACCTGATTTAGTCTGTAAAAGTTTGAACTACGCAGAACTCATACACACAGTCCATATACCCACACAGATGTATATATGTGTATGCATCTGTAATCACATATAGATTCAAATGTGGAGTATGCATACTGGTAGTAAAATGATACAAAGAAGGACATGAGCAATGTGAACACAGGACAGAAATGGTTTCTGAAGGAAAGGGAAGAGAAAAGCACTCAGAAAAACAAACATGAAGCTCCCGAGGTATTGCAAATGGTTTTTTTTCTTAGTCCAGGGAACAGATTACAATCATTCCTTTTGGGTTTCAAACTGAGCAGATACATTTTATACATTTTGTGAATACTACTTATTTCAGTAAATATAAATATTTACATGAGAGATAAATGAACCCACAAGAGACACTGTTTGATGCCTCTAAGATTTGTGGGCCACCCCAAGATGTGCTCCATCACACAGCCTCCTGCCAAGTACAGCCTCCTCTGTTCCTGAACACAGTCTCATCCTTGCTTGCACACTTGACGCTTGTGATTGCAGGTTATTTCCAAACGCTCACATGGCCATTCTTGTCTGTTACATGACTGCTACAGCAAGTAGCCTACCACAGAGTGCGACGGACGGCTGTGATGGTCTAGAAGGAAGGAGAGGAGAGGGCTGCCTGCCTCAGATGTTCTGGGGGAATCTAGCAGATTGGTGGCACTTCCTTTCAAGAGTGGATTACCCCTTTCATTTTGTAAGGGAGCAGACATTAGCTGGAAGATGACCTTCCCTCAGTGTGCTGGCCTAGCTGGCAGCTGCAAAAATGGTATTCTAAGAGGCCCATGAAATAAGCAGGCTAACACGACAAGCTGAGAACTCAGTGCAGGAGAAGCCACTGGGCATAGGAGGTGGCTCCAGGAGCAATTTAAATGATGAAGTGGTAGACACTAAGTGCAGAAGAAACTCAGAGGATGGAGCAATCAATCACTGCCAAGCTTATCTTCTGCCAAGACTGGAACTCCAGCTTCCAGATGTACCATTAAAATGTAACGTTCCCACTGGGGCTGAGCATGGCAGGTTTCCCTAAGCTTCAGTTTCACTCAGTTAACTAATTATGAGAAAATGTGACACTGGTATTTACTTTTTCTAAGGGGACAGATCATTCCCAGCAGGAGGGAGACATTGTAATTTTTTTTCTGTTTTGTTTTGTCATTAAAAAGAAATTATACAGCAGTAAATAAACTCTTGTTAGGGGGAAGAAACACTTTTTTCCTTGATAATTCTATCAAAATTCACCTGAATGCTGACAATCATTTCTTTGGTTTCCGAGGGACAAGGTGGGCAAAAGAACAAGTATTTGGATGCTAGAGCTAGGCTTGAAAATTAACTGAACCACTTACTAGCTATGTGACCCTGGCAAGTTATTTAAGTCCTATGAGCTTGTTTTCCCAGCTGTAGAATTGAGGATGATACATCTCTTGTACAATGTAGTTGGTTAAAGATGAAATGAAGTAATACAGTTGATACACTTTAGCACAGTGTCTCTATAAGTACTCAATAAATTCTAGGTATTATTCTCAATGACCCTGATACTCTAGTCTATAAAAAGAAACAGTTTATACAGGCCATTTATACATTGGATCACCAATTCCATGTGACCATGCATCCAATCATGAATTGGACCTTTACTTTGGCACTACAAACCCAACTGTGTACTACACATTCTACTCCTGCTCACTCCAGTGAGAAGTTAATATTTAATGAGAAGGCAAAAGAAAACAGCTCTCCCCTGGACATTCCCCATTTTTTTAGCTTTTCAAATAAAATATACAATGTTGAGCAAAAGTTATCAGTAAATCTATGCTTCTCCCACTGCCTGGATGTAAAAGAGTGATAACATTATGTCTGAAGTGTGCTGAGCAATTTAGAAGGTAATTTCACGGATGATTTCCTATTTGTACACATAACAATCTATGTGGATGCAGAGCAGATATGATTAGCCCCATTTTACAGATAAAGGAAAAAAAATCAAGAACAAGAGAGGGTGAATGACAGAGCCACTGTATTCTATGAAGAGCATCTGTTAAGAATGAAAAAATGACATGGTTATTGGACTTTTCAAAATTAGATTTTCCCAAGAATGAATTCTGTTTCACAGATGGCCAAAGGGACTAGTCATTAAAGAGAGAAGCAGGATTGTTGGTGGAAAGTGAACAAAACAGAAAACCAAGAGGCATAGGGTTTTATGTTCCAATTTCACAATCCATTTGTCCAATGTGCCTCAAAGTTTTTACAATAAATATGAAGAATTTGATTTGCCTTTCTTACAAGAGTATTGGAATGTGTACAAATGTGCAAAAGTGTGCGAGATTGATGGTATGACACTGAAGAGGTCTTCTACAAGACATAGTAAATAAAAGCTCCCAAAATGTGTAAACATAAGGAAATATATATTGAGTGCTAGAGACAAAATCTCTGTTATAAGGGCTGGGGATTTAGCTCAGTGGTTTTGCTGCCTGCTGCGCAAGCGCAAGGACCTGAGTTCAATCCCCGGTACCAAAAAAAAAAAAGTCAAAATCTCTGTTATAAAAGAAAGGATAAGAATGTTTTTCTAAGGACATATGGGATAGAAGATTATAAACAATTAGGTTACGTTACATAAATCTATATTACACATTTGAACTATATTTTGAAATTGCAGAAGCAACCTAAGAGTCACAGACATATAATACTTTCTCTGAAGTCACAAAAATATAGTGGCCTTCTAATTTGGGTACTATTTCTTCAACTAACCACAAATAAGAGCTGTTAAAATAATCAATTCTTAAGTGCTCTTACTGATAAGCAAGTCTTTCTGGTAGTAGTCACCTTCCAACCCTCCAAAGACCCTGACATATGTTCAATAGTATCTCATAACCACTAAACAAGCCCTAGTGGACTAGAGAATTGAAATTAAGAATTTCCTTCTCCTCCTTTTTTGAGTGGACCATAAGTTCTTACAGATAGGAGGACAAAAGCAATCAAAGGTCACTAAAGGCAAAACTAGTTTAAAATAAAATCACAAGTTTCTAGTTTATCGCTTTGGAAACGGAAGCCCAAGAACCTATAAATATGCAATCAAAAACCTATTCATACCAGCCACAATCAGAAAAATAACAACGCATGATAATGGGCTACCATTAGGTGGTTGATTACCTAATTCTGACTTAATGGGCCTGAACATCATTTTCCTGTGATTCTTCATAAAGCATAATGCAACTTCATTATGCTATCGGGACAGATTTCATGATGTGGCAGCAAGAGAGGTGCCTCAAACTCCTGGCACATTTCCTTAATTAATTCATATCATAAATATTTTTGAATGTTTGCTAAGTGTTAACTATATTAAAGAACTCATAATCTAATAGGGGCGCTAGCTAAACAAAGCATCAAATTTGAGTGCTAAACCCTGGATTGGAGAAACATATCTGGCACAATAAGTGGATCAGAAAATGTTCACAGAGTAAGTATGAGGGAAGGTAGGCAGAAATTGTCTATACGGCAAAAGCAGTTTCTTGCCAGAGAGACAGTATGGACAAAACAGGGTAACACAAGAAATATGGTGAGTTCCTGAAATTAGATGTCATCTCATATGGCTGGTGTATGGATCAATCAAAGAAGAGTAAACAACGGCAAAAGAAAAAATGAGCAGTAGAGGAAGACAAATATTCCATCATTTAGGGCACACTAGTCCACATTAAAACACAATATGGAGGGCCGGGAATTTAGCTCAGTGGTGTCGTCGCCTGCCTTGCAAGTGCAAGGACCTGAGTTTGATGCCTGGTACCAAAAAAAAAAAAAACAAAACACAATATGGAAAAGCTGACCGATTACCAGTCTGTTGGAAAGATTTCATCCCCTGGGCAATGGGAGCATCTACTATGATCATTTAGTGCTGTGTACAGTGGACTAGAAGAAGGAGACCTACAAGGATGGATACCAGTTTTGAGACAAGGAAATGCACAAGAAAGACATAAAGAAGCCCCCAAATAAAGCTACATATACTGTAGATATTTGTAAAACATAATTACCTAACATAATTGGCCATTGTAGCCACTTGATAAACATTTTGATTGACTGACTGAATAAGTGAATAATTCTAAAGCTTAGAAGAAATGCAGTTCAATACTTTATCCTTTGAGTGACATAGCCATCTCTTAAAATACAAACAGTTCACCTCAACTAGGTAACTGCTCTTGTTAACTTACTAATTAGCTTCATTTCAGACTTTGCAAATGGCTGCACTAAGACAGAGTCCCAATGTCCAATATAGAAGGGACTTTTGTCTACTATAAACCTCCATTTAAACGATATAAATACGACACAGAGATGATGAATGACTAGCTCAAATCACAAGAAGTTCTGGTGATGGGACAGAAATCAGGCAGACTACGTTAAACCTCACAGTAATTGCCAACCAAGTGGTTTTAACAGATTTGAAAATATCCAAGATAGCAAATTCAGCTAGAGTGGATTAAGTCTTTAAATGTGTTTGATATTTCACACTAAAAAAAAATTACAAGGCCTACATCTTAGAGACACTTTCTTAAATAATACTTCACTCTGACAATGAAATGCAAGGAACAGGGCTCAATTTTTAATTAGTATAAATAAGGTAGATTCTTACCATGATCTTCTGAAGAGACTGGTGACCTAAAAAAAGAAAATAAGCATGATAAATACTTTGTATATGATAACAAAATAACCACAAATAATTTCATAAAAATTATATTCACAAAATTCACTTAAATAGAAACAATATAGTAGGCAGTGTAATTAGTGCATACACTAGTTATCTGGTATATTCCAATCAGTAACTTCCAAATCTTACCTGGATTGTTTGGGTATTGAGTATTGGGTAAATGTCACGTCCATGTGTGGTGTCACAGAACTGCAGTAAACTTAGTTAAGTCTAAACTTATCACAGAAAAAGATAACTCATAGAAATACAGTAATGGGTGAAATCCCGTGATTTTTGCCTGAGACCTCCCGAGTGAGACCTCCCGAGAAAAATATCAAGGGCATAAATAGCTATGGACACTAGCTTGAATGTTTATAGATAAAAAGAGATCTGTTTGAACAGTAAAACACTTGATAGAAATAAAGAAATGGCATACAATTTGATGTTTAAGTGAGGTTGAGCTTAACCCTCTGTGTGCCAGCCTTCCGGTCTCTAAACCTATGAGCACCAGGATGAGGCAAGAGAACAACTATTATTAGGATCTCACAAACCTTCATTAAGCCAATAATTTTTGCATAGCCTTTGTGGGTCCAGATCTTATTATGGTAGTCAGATACAAAGCGAAGCATTACGTCAAACAGAAAAACCTTTCTTTCCCCTAGTTGACTCAAAATTGAGATCCACTGGGCAACGCAGATGAATTGACCTCTTGTCTGAATTGAGAGGCTTTTTTGGTGAGTAAACACTAAAGTATAAAGACATAGTAGAAATGGAAAGAAAATCTTAAACCTTCATTAGTGACAAAGTATGAATCATTTCAACCTCATGGGTCTCTTCAAGTAGACTTTTGCATGTGAAAACTACAGAGGGTCTCAAAACATGGTGGAATGAAAATTGGCATTTGGGTGATGGGAAATGGTGAGCACGAACCTGCCGCAATCACTACATCATGGCTGCCTGAGAAAAACTACTTGGCCTCCCCAAGTAGAGCTGGCAAATGCAGCCCTTTGAGTTCCCTTATTCTGTATTGTTTGCACATTGGTCTTACTAGGGTGTAACCCCTTGTAACATGGAACAGTGTTTTTTTAGAATAAGTAGGCCTTTAATTTAAGCTTATCGAATGCATCTAATTTTAGCACCACCATGCTAATATTCAGATTTAGACACATTCTAGAGCTCCTCAAAAAGTCATCATGTTACCTTCCAATGAGCAAGACAGTTTTGCAGCTCCTAGGTCAGCTGTGAGCAAAAGGATGTCAAAAAGGAGGCTGAAGCTCCACTAGCTCTAATGTGGGGAATCTCAATGTCGAAGGGCCTCACCGTAACACTCCACAACAGAGACACATATAATCTATTTCAATGACTTAGAAAAATAAAGTGTGTTGAATGGAAGATGAGATGGGAGTATATGGTGAATCTAAAAGAAACATATTTAAAATAAGATGAATTAACATCTTAAGCTTCCTAGGGCCTAAAAGTATCAGCAATGGAAAATCACCATTCTGGGCATTTTCAAAGAAGTAAGCAAAAATGTGTCATGGATTATTTACAAATAACTTCTCACAGAGCTAGCTAGAGGAACAAAAAAATCTCCATGCCAATGGACAAATAAATGTGTCAGGCAGAGAGCTTGTGAAGCAGGGTCTTTCCTGTCTTTCTGAAAAAGCAAAGAACTAATATTAAACCTGAAAAAATCCAGATGGCTCCATTAAAGTCTCAAGGGGACGCATTCTGTACTGTGTCCAGGCAGCAGGGAAGAACTATCAATTTCAGAATGTTTTGTAAGGATTAGTCTTGTTGAGTTTCTGTGCTGAGTGTCTCCTACATGCCTGGACTTGTGGAATTCTAAGACATATGGAGTATTTCAATCCTCACCCAGTATTTCATCTTTCACTGCAACAAGTCACTAAATTACACCACTGAGACATGCACATCATCCATTACTGCTGGAAATGAGCAGAAAAAGTTTTATAGAACTTAGCTCAGGAGAGGAAATATCCTGAAATCAGCAGTATAAGTAGTTATTTTTAAAACACAGGTCAAATCTCAGGAACAGATCACCATCCTCAACCTGACATTGGGGCATGCAGAAAAGCTCACTGAGAAGGCGGGGGGTGGGGGGGGACAAGAAAAGAAGGGATTAAAAAAAAGCTTTTGTAAATAAGGGGGGTGGAGGGATTGAAGGAATGGGGGAATGGGAGGGGATTGGGAGAAAAAGAGGACTCAAGATATAACATATACAAGTATTAATCTCTTTGATGCATGTGATTGTTATGTGTATTTAAATTGTACCAATAAAATTTATTTTTTAAGAAGAAAAGCTCACTGCCTATTCTTCCCACTATACCTGAAAAACACATGGTTTTGTCTCAGATTAGGGATTTTTGTTCCATGTATACTTTATCTTGAAGTTAATATCTGCCCTCACAATGTAAACTAGTGCTAGCATTCAGATAACTCCATAACCTACATCTCTACTGTTTGCTTCTTTCCTGCTTACTAGTCCTTTATTATGATCTATTAAATATTAGTGCTTTTGCTGTTTCATTTCTTTTGGTATTTTTTTTACAATTTTACTTCACTCAGACTCAATAAAAGAAAAAAATTCAGGCCTTGCATTTAAAATCTTTCTTCTACTTTATTAAACCTAAATAATTATTATTCATGTATGAATGTTTTATTTCCTACTGATTCAGTTAATTACTTGAGATTCTTAAGTGCTAAGCCCTATGCCAAGGGAAGAAGATATGAAGTACAAGTTCAAAGAACTCATAATGTAGTAAAGAAAAATAACTAATCAAATGGTTGTAATATAGTAAGGAAATACAATGATCAAAATATTTATGAGGAATTAGCACAAAGGAGAGAAAGATCAATTCTGTTTCAAAGAGTGGTGGAAGAAGTCAAAAAGCAAGATTCACATGAACTGGGCTTTAAAGAATAAATAGAAGCTTATTAGGTAGGTAAGAGAAGAGTCCTAGGCAGAATCAACAGCCACATGAAAAGGAGTACAGATATGAAATCTCACAATATGTTATCAGATTGACAAGAAAGCTGGTATTCTTAACATGTAAAGGAATAATAAAACTGAAAAGAAAGGTATAGAGGCCATCTCATATGGGGCTTGTGAGACCTTTTTGAGATGACTGTAATTTACTATCTAAGCTAAATGGAACATGCATTTGAAAGTTACATATTCTGGTTTGTACTTTTGAATGAGCAGGCTGCAGGAAATGAACATCAAAAGACAAATTGAAAGGTAGAAGACAAGTTAAAGACTATTATTGCACAGCTTCTATGTTAATAAGGCAGAATAAAAATTTCTCTGCTCTTCGATTCTCTTTGAAACCGATGAAAAATAACAGGGAGGATGAAAACCAGTGAAGGAAACACCATTTGACTAAACTAGATGTTTCTGAACTTAAACCATTACCTATGAATAAGAGCTACCAAGTACAAAATTTGGTACAAAAAATTGGACCAAGTTTCAGGGGAACAGGAAGTTTCAAACTTACTTGGCTAAAGAGACATGGGCTACATCATATGCCACAGAACTATGGCAGAAAGCCCTCTACTGTGAAACAGAATATCCTGTTAGAGAAAAGTCGGATCAAACCCCAGTGGAGAGTACTGTTAAGAGAGGTTAAGGGGGCCGGGGATTTAGCTCAGTGGTTCCGCTGCCTGCCTGGTAGGCGCAAGGTCCTGAGTTTGATCCCCAGTACCAAAAAAAAAAAAAAAAGAAAGAAAAAGAAAGAGGTTAAGGACGATCAGCCCAAAGTCAAACTTGCAGCGACTCACCAACCCACTAACCCCAATTATCCATCCCAAACTGAAGCTCCAGAAAGAACTCACCCAAGGAAAATATGAATACCTGAAAAGAACCATCATAATATATAGCAAAAGTGCTACAAGAAGAAAGCCAAAATGTAAGCATAACACAGTAAAAAGATGATAGTATGAAGAGGATAAGAACTGTTAATAAATCTCCATGAAATTTAGAAATTGAGAAAGGAAAGGAAAGGAGGACAGAAGAGGAAAGGAAATAGAACTTTTGTGAACCACAAACTTGAAGAAGAAATGCAATGATCAAGAAATAATTATAACACTACAGGAACTGAGGAGAGCACAGTGTGTCCAGTCATGGAACTAGAATGTTACAGAAAAGTTTTGAGAATTTTCCCCACTCTATCATTGTGTGCGTAGAAAAGAAGATTAAGTGGAAATAAGTAGCTACAAATATATCTGGATGAAAATGCTCATGAAAGAAATAAAAGAAGACACAATAAATAGAAAAACACCTTATGTTCATGAATTTAAAGAATCAATTTTATTAAAATGTCCACACTCTCTAAAATGATCTAATGATTCAAAATAGCAAGGAGACTCTTCATAGAAACAGGTAAAACAATCCTAAAATTCATAGAGAAACACAAAAGATCTCACACAGCCAAGGTAGTCTTCAGCAAAATGAATAAAGCTTCAGAAGCATCATATTACTTGACTTCAAAATACACTACAAAGTGCAAGTAAGCAAAAGTGCATGGTAGTGGTATAAAAATAGAAACAAACTCAGAAGTGGAACAGAATAAAGAATACAGAAATAAATCTACAGTTTCAGCTCACTAATTTTCAGTAAAGGTACTGAGAACACACAATGGGAAAGGATACTCTTCAATAAGTGGTGCATATGAAAGGATGAAATAGGAATTTTATCTGACATCATGTTCAACCTTAGGACATCATGATCCACCTTAGGATCCCATAAAAGTGTACAATTTCTATGGGTCAAATAAACATTTTAAAAGTCAACTAAAATGGATCAAATACCTGAAAACTAGGAAAGTAGTAGAAGAAAGTATTGCTGAAAAGCTCCATGACATTGTTCTGAGCAATTATTTTTTGATATTACCTCAAAAGCACAGGCAACAAATGCAAAAATAGACAAATGTGATTATATTAAACTAAAAAGTTT